TAAAATAAATTAAAGCTTTAAGCTTTGATTACTTTGAGCTCTTATATTTATCATCAAAGTTTATTTAAATTAATTAAACAATTTAAATCAAATAAATATCAGCCTGCTCAGTCCCTGTTTATTTATAAATATAAAATAAATAATAATATAATTATAAATAAAATTATAAATAAAAATTTATAAAGTATTCTAATTATTATTTTATTTAAAGCTCACTCTATAGAGTTGAAGCTTTTATCACAGATAGTTAATATTTGATTTCAGATACTGATGCAGGTTTATCCATTACAGAGACAGAAGAAGAATGAATACTAAAATTTCAGAGTGTAAAAGATTAAAAGAAGCTAAAGAAAATGTTATTAACTTTACACTAAAGTTAAAAATAGTCAAAAAAAAAAAAAAAAAAGTGTAAAAAAGAAGTTGGAGAAAAATCTATCATTTGTACTTTTTTTAGCACCAAGTTCACAACAGTTGTAGTGGAATACAAAATGGTCTTAACTTGGGTTTTTTTTAGTTTAGAAACTGTTCGTTTAATGAATACAGAGAAGTAGAAAAAAGATATTGAAATAAATTGCAATAAAAAGATAAAGTGTGTTTGTAAGATTTTTTATGTTTTAGATACAACTAGATCAGCTAAGAGTGTTTATTTAAAGAAAGAGTGATCAAGTGCAAAAGATAAATTTACTCTAGTAATGTTCAGAGATTTTTATCCATTTCTATTAACAAAAGGTGCATTAAAAATAAAAACAAAATATACAGCACATGAAAGATGCTATATAACATTAATATATTTTTTTTTTTTTTTTTATTTTAATTCACCTCCTCAAGGCCGAGAAGGCCACTACAGACGAGGAGGCTACTTATTCGTGGCTATAACCCTCTCTCAACTCTATAACTCCGAAACACGAACCTTGACGAACAAGGCCGCTGCGCGGAGAAACGAGTTGAGCGCGGTACTACCAGGGACGTGGTGGGGATCGAACTCGGAACCACTCGTTTATGAAGCGAGCGCTCTACCACTACACCACTACCGCATATGATTTGCATATGATAATATGGTTTGCACACAGAAAAAGTACAACTAGAAATAGGAAAATTTGGGGAAAATTTTTCAAAAAAGTTTAAGTTTAAAAAAAAAAACGCTCGGTGCGGTCAAGTATCAAAAACGACAGGGGCGCTGAGAGCTTTTGCCCTGCCTGGGACAGCAACCCTGACTGGCGTCCTCATTTTTATACAATTTTTCTATATAATTAATCAATGACCTTAGTTTTGGTACCTTTTTTGTTTTACACCCCTGCTGATCTGAATGCTGATTAATTTTTAAGCGTGTATAGTGCCTAAGCTTCGACTTCGGCAAAATTTTAGCTTCGGTACAACCCTACTTTTTAGATGTAAATACATCGACTGACAAATAGGGACTGGCGCAATTAAATGTACATACAGTGACTGAAAAATAGGAATTGGCGCAATTAAATGTGCATAGATTAACTGACAAATAGGGATTGGCGCAATCAAATGTACATGGTTAGGGTCAGGGTTAGGGTTTGGGTCAGAATCAGTTAGAAACTTCTGGGAATTAGCTTTAAATAGTTTTTTATAAAAGTGTTAATAAAAACCGGGCTATTTTTAAGTTAACGAAGAAAAAGGATCTAATCATATTTCGAGTACGAAGAAAATGGCGATTATTAGCGTTTTTTGTGCAATTTTTTAAACTTCAACATCAAATAAGAGTGCTTTCCTCAAAATTTCAGGTCAATGTTTTTAAACGATTCTTAATCAGCATGAAATTCTCTATCAAAATCAATCATAAAATGATAGCGGTAGGCAACTGAAATAGTGCCGGTGTAAATATTATAACTTTATAGTTGTTATTGTTTATATTTAGTTTGTAAATGTTTAATTAAAGTTTTTAATTTTATAAATGGTTTTAGAAAGTTTGTTATTTTCCTTCGAGGTAGCCATTTTGGCCCTTGTCGTATGGGCGTGGTTTTACCATTCTTTAAAAAACTGAGTATATTTTTCGAGAAAATTCGTAACGAATGGTTTTTTATTGTTTACCGAGTTTGGGGTGCGCCGTTTTAAAGTCCGCCAAAAATTTTAATAAAAATTTAGACACCTTGGTGTTGGAGTTGTCTAGTGAACCTTTTGAAAGCACATTTTCTTGCACAATTTGCTCTAAAAAGTGCATATCTCAAAGAGGCCTTACAAGGCATACAAATTCAAAACATCAAAGTATTCCTTTGGATTTAACATTACAAAATCCTAAACCACATATTCTTCTCAGCAAATTTAAAAGTCTTCTCGATAAAAGCATTTCTACCTTGATTGACGACGAATGCTATCCTGATTTGTATAGAAATGAGTTAAGTATTAATCATGCAATGCTATTAGAAAATTCACAACAAACCCTATCTCTATTATAGGCAACAATAATTAGTTTTAAAGATAATGGCGATGCAGAAAAGTTTTATCCTCAATTTTACAAAGATATTAATTGTGATAAAGGAATTTTCATTAACAGTCTGACTAAAAAAACAACTAGACTTCTTGGCTATGAACATTGCAATCATGTTTTAGCATTTCTTACAAACTTATTTAACAAAAATTCTTTTGTAAATTTAAATGATTTGTCGTCAGTTGAACTTTCAGATAGAGATAAAGAAACTGTCAGATAGAGATAAAGAAACTTGTTTCTAAGTGATTATGTATTCAGTACATTTTATTGCAGAGCTTGCAGTTTGCGGGTATGGCAGCAAAAGTTAAGTACAGACTGCCTTTCACTTCTTAATGCTGGTAAAATAGGCATTTTTTAAGAATATTGAAACATCCACTGAGTCTCACCAAAAATTTGTAAATGCTAAAAATCGAGGTAGTTTATGGAAAGTGTCTCCTCCAGTTTTAGAAATCTTTACAAAAGTTGAGCTTCTCTTTTGTCATCAAAGTAATAGTTTTGTAAAAAAAATTGTAGCAATAACTTTTAAAAGACAGTGTTGTTATAGCAAGCATATCTAAACTTCGTAGTCTTTGCACAAATCAACCCTGTGTTAAGTCCGACGGTGGACTCAGGACGAGCTTGTTACATCGGTTGAACATCGGCTACTCTGTTTTTAGCAAAACAATATCGGTTAAACGTCGGTTTTGTGTCTGTTGGCCAATGAATATGCAAACAGACATTCAGACGACGTCCAGCCGATGCACAGTGAATCGGCTCATACAATCTAGCTGGATAAAAGTCAATTCAAAGAATCAATTAGTTGATATTCCCATAGTATTACTGAATATTCCCTCACGATGCAAATGCTCGCCGTTATAGCAATTGCTCAAAAATGTGTGAATAAAGTTTTCCTAATGCTCGCAAGCAATTGCTTTTGTGTCGGAGTAAAAGCTATATGCCGTTGCGGATATAAGTAGCTTTTTTAACTTTTAATATTTAAAAATGGCTTCTTCAAACCAGATTTCAATTGAATCAAGTGAAAATAATATAGCTAGCCAAAGTTTTAACAAATGTGAAGATGAAGTTTTTATAAACATACTATGCGAATTGCCAATACTTCTACAAAAAACGTTAAAATAAAGAAAAACAAAGCATTTTTAAAAATGCAAGACCAAATGTTCCAAGCAACAGGAACAAAAATTGATACAAAAATATTGGCGAAAAAGATTGCAAACATGAAGACAAGGTTAAAAAAAAAGTCTGACATCCATCGAACTGGAAACAAGCCTATAAAACTTTCAGCGAGTGAAGGCAAACTTGCTAATCTTTTAGATACAGAAAAGAATCCTACCTTCACACAAATTGATGGTTAGTAAAGACAACTTTATTTATATACGTACATATTATTATATATATATATATATATAATATATATATATATATATATATATATATATATATATATATAATATGCTTAGGGGCAATATCTGCAGGCATAGATCAAACTCCCACTTCAAGTGTTGCTGAAACCATCAGTTGAATTTTCTGGTTATGTTAAAAGTAGTTGCAGTAAGTTACTATTGCGGTTTTTTATTCTTTAATAGAGTATATTTGCAGGACACCTGATTCCAATATAATTTTATTCTTTTTATATTTTACGTAAAACGATCAATATCTTGGAGATTTTAATCTACCAAAATTGATTTTTTTTTCTCAGGGAACACATCTCAAGCATCGAGGTTAATTCCAAAAAGATTAAAACTATCTGGTGAAACTAAAGAAACTATAAAATAGACAAATACAGAGCTTTAGCGTGTGGTCATGCTGGAGCAGCTAAAATACTATCGGTTGAAAAGTTTAAAGTTGAAATATACTACTCCCCGCGATATAAATGAAGAGGAGATAGATATTGTTGTTGACATTTACGTTGATGGAAATAAAACATAAAAACGTGAAAATAAATTTTGGTTACTGCTAAATGTACAAAAGTTTTAAATTTACTTAAATTAATTTTTTACCATGCATTACATTTTCAACATTTTAAAACGTTATACATTGTAATAAAAAGAAGGATGAATTAATTTAAATTAATTAAAGTATCTTTATACATTTCACAGCAACGAAAATCTATTTTAAAATGTCACTTCTTTATGTTTTATTTCCAGTTAGTTTTTATGTTTCATTTTATTTCTTAAATGTCAGTTATAATCTTTTTAAAAATATTTCTAAAATTTATAGCATAATAAAAATGTATTGCCAAATAATGCATATTTTAATAAAGTCCTAATAATGAACATTTACTACATAAAAGTATTATCAAATAAGTTATTAAGTCATAAACTTATTATAACTGACATTTGAGAAACTTTTGTTTATTTTACTGCAAATAAAACTTAAAAATGTTATGTTAGCACATCTTAAAAATTCTTTAAAATAGTTATTTACCTAAGAAAATTTTGAAAGTATATTTTTAATAATATAAACAATACAATAAAATAAAAACTATGTATGTTGTTTTCAATTTGTTACAAATAAAAAGACATTGCACTTTTAAAATTTTCATATTACAAAGTTGATAACAAAAAAGATGTTAATTACTTAATTCTCTCTACATAAGTCTCTTAATTTATTATTGCCAAAGCAATTTCATTTCTACGCTGCTGACCAAGTAAACGAAGTTGCTGTTCGTTTCCTTCTTCAATTACAGGAACAATTTCTTCGTTATCTTCTTCGACATCTTCATCCTCAAAATCTGGATCGTTTAAAGTTTTCGCAATATTGTGCAGTATAAAGCATGCAGTGATACGTGTAGCTATCATCTCTGGCTTAATTCTTACCTATAAAATTATTACACCACAGTTACATTACATTAAAGTAGCGGTACAAAAATTACTCTCGATTTATTTATCAGGAAAAAAAAAAAATTAACATATATATATATATATATATATATATATATATATATATATATATATATATATATATATATATATATATATATATATATATATATATATAATCTTTGGGAATAAAGTTACTTACGCCGTATCTGAGAATTGGAAAGCGTCTTTTTAATTGACCAAATGCATGTTCTATAATTACTCTGTTTTTAGCATGTTTTTTGTTAAAATTCTTTTCAATTTCTGTTTGAGCATTTTCAAATAGAGTCATCAAAAATGGGGTTATACCATACCCTGCATCTCCTAGAAGATATCCTCTATTTTCCAAACCTATTAATAGTGGATATATATTAGAGTTTTTAAATATTCTTGAGCCATGAACAGATCTGGGCCAACTAACATCAACACTGGTGAATATAGCTTTTTCATTTACAGTTGCCTATATATAAAAAAATTTATTGAAAAAAGAACCATTGAGAAATACAAGTAAATATTTTTCTATATATATATATATATATATATATATATATATATATATATATATATATATATATATATATATATATATCATTCCATTCTTTGCTTGGTTGTTGGTGATCCTCCCCGAGTTTCATCACTTACATCCAAAAAGTGTTTTGCCATCCACGTAACGTCATCATCCGTAAATCGAAATAATTTATGGTATTCGTTTGAAGCTGTTGGTGGTGCCTTTCGAGTATTAAAGGATTTAGTTTTTCGTTCTGGAAACATTTGGGCCATTTAAAGACGTATTTTAAGATGTATTTTTAATGCAACTAATATATTTTATTATTATATTTGTTAATTACTGTTCACTATATCTAATACCTTGATTGTATAATCGATTACATTATGCGAATGTATTATATACAATTTATCAAACGTGATAAATTTGCAAGTACTCTTTAACTACTCTTTATTTGTAAACGCGCACTCCATTTGTCGACATTAGGCTGCAGTTTTTATTTAATTATAATACTCAAAATATGCAAAAAATATATATATATATTGAATTAAATACACACAAGCTTAGGAAGACAGCATGTGCAACTTCATTTTTGCCAAAATTATATTCCAAAAAAATAATTGTGTCAAAAACGTGCTAGTATAATTATAACTAAATGCATAACGTAAAAATAAAAACGTAAAAGTTATAAATATACATACATACATATATATATATATATATATATATATATATATATATATATATATATATATATATATATATATATATATATATATATATATATATATAGTCAAAAAATAGTAAAATATATTAGTAAAATAATAATGTCCAATTATCAAAAAAAAAAAGAAGCATTTATTATAGGTGCTCGTAAAATTAGAAGCAGTTGCTCGCCGTTTTTTGAGTTGTAGCTTTTTTATTCACGCACTTTTCTCATATGTGAGCAATCGCTAAATATAAATCGCTAATTAAGCAAAATCTCATGAGTAAAAGCTTTCGCGGAAAAAAGAGCAATTGCTCTATTTTTTTATTCACGTAAACTTGAGCAATTACTCCAAAAACGCTAAGTAAAAGCAGTTGCTCTTTTTTATTCACCCGGCCTATTAACTCTTTAACAACACACCTTTTCACAGTTCCGATATAAAATTTATGCGTGCGCAAAAATGGAAGTAAAAACGTAAACAAACATTATTTTAACGGTTTAAGTTGTAGAGGTTTACAATGAAAATAAATGTAAATACTGAACCTATACCATAGAGAAGTTTCAAGAGATCGAAAACATGCGCTCTCATCGATTGTAAAAATAACGAGTACAATCTAGAAATGTGGAAAGATGAAACTTTTCAAACAATGATTGATCAAATTATGTTGAATTAAATGTTAAACGTTGTTTCATAATAGAGCATCAAGAATTAGAAAAAGGTTATTAAGGATATTAAATTTTTTGGCATAACATCAAACTTCAACACGAAATTAAAAAAAATAATAAATTATTTGAAAAATTAACTTCAACCACATCAGTTAATACTATGAAACAAATTTGTACATAAACATAATCCAAACCACTGATCTCAAAATATAACTGGATAGCGGATTTTATTGTTTTTTCCGAAAAAAGTTGAAGCCAAAATTGGCCTCTCAAGATGGCGGCAATTTTAGTTCCTAGCGGTGAAACCGATATACATTATATTTTACTTTATCAAAATACAAAAAAAATAATTAAACAAGATTGTAAATTTGTAAAAAAACAGAACAAAATAATGAATTTTATAATTAATAATGAAAAAAAAGAAATCTTTTTTAATAATTATATTTATTATTAAATAGCATTAGTAAAATTTACAATTTTAGTTTTATATATAATTTAGGTAGCTTTTAGTTTTTAGCTACCCAATGCTGTATGCTAGAAAGTTAATAACATAACAGAATGGTAAGCAGCAATCATGTCTGACTGTAATTTTATATTCTCTATTTTTTGCAACAAGATACTAATTTGTAAAAATGCTGCATGAACTAATAGTTGAGAATTGTGAGTACACAGAAACTCAAGTGTTCCTTCTAGAATTATATTATACTTGAATGCTATTATTGCATAAATTGTCACTTATACTGTTAAAAAAAAAAACAGGTCTTAAATATGTTATTTATAACAAATTTTAAAACAAATAAAAAGTTAATGATCACTTCTTACTTAATTACTCAATACAATTAAGGATGCAAATGTATGTAAAAATACATTTGTTTGAAAAAAATGTATTAATTAAATCTTTAATATAAAAATAATCAAAACATCTCTTTGAAATATCTCCATAACTAAAGTTATTTATACTGTTTACCTGCTGTTATATATATATATATATATATATATATATATATATATATATATATATATATATATATATATATATATATATATATATGTATATGTTTACCTGCTGTTAAGTATTATGGTTATATGCTATAGTTTGCTGACTTTTATGTTAATTAAATGCATGTTGCAGGTAAACAATTTTATAAATTTTTATGATCCACGTCCTTGACGTGGATCGTCTTAAAAACTTGTACAACCACGTTAAGCATTTCATCTTTCTACTATACTAATTGAGTGTAAAAAATCCTTATAAACTTTTAATAATCGTTTATGAAATTGTTTCGGTGCTACGCATTCACCAAAAAAGAATCTTTTTACTGCACTATATTCAATTTTGTAGATGTTGCAGAACTAGAACGAGGATGTACTCACTAAGAACAAAAAACTTTGGATATATTGAATACATAGTCGTTTACCAATTTTTATTTTTTAATCTTGAACCAATAACTTTTTTGCTTTTTAACAAGATTAAAATTTACTATGTTGCACAGTTGCTTTGAATGTTGCTCAGGTTATTAGTTTGAATTACTCAAAAAAAATAGTGCCTAATTTTTTTTGGCGCCTTTAATTAGGCAGATTAAGACTACAAGCTAAAAGTCGATTTACGAAATTGATTTTAAAAAAGCCTAATGAAACTGTCGTGTAAGCATTTACAATAATAAAAAAAAGATAAAACAAAAAGTCTTTGCATGCTGATTTTATTCTCATTAGTTCCTTTTATATCAGCGTCTAATTAGTTACCCTGAGCAATAAGTTTATAAAACCGAAATAAGAGGAGAACAGTCTTTATATTTATGAAGCTCAATTTCACCTTATATTTTAAAAAGTATACTTTTGATGTTACAAAAAGTATTATATACTCTTCTACAAAAAGTATTATATACTCTTATATTTTCTATTCTTTATGTAGCCGTGGCGCAGTGGTAGCGCACTTGCCTCAGAAATGTAAGATCCCGTGGTTTAAACCCCACCTCTGGGCAAGTTTTGCGACATCGGTTGGGAAGGAGGCGTGAACTTCCTATTAAATGCTCTTTCGCGGTGCTCTGTGATAAGACCGTAAGGACTTCTTGGGGCACCTAAAATCAACATAAAAAAAAAAAATATATATATATATATATATATATATATATATATATATATATATATATATATATATATATATATATATATATATATATATATATATATATATATATATATATATATATATATATATATATATATATATATATATATATATATATACTTTCTTACAAACAGTATTATATACTCTTCTTCCTTGATTAATACTTCCTAATTCATTACAAGCGATGCAAGCAAAATAAAAAAAAAAAAACAAGTAAGATAATATAGAAAAGTTTTAGCCTGTTCTTTTTTTTTAATATTATAAAATACAACATTTTTTTTTTCAATTTTTTTTTTTTAAATACATTATAAATTAAAAAGAAAATTTAGTTGCTAAATAATAAGGTTAATTTGTAGGAAGAAGAAACAACACAACAGTCTCAAGTTTTCTTCTAAATTTTTTTTATTTAGAATATTGCTTTAAGAAAGTTAAATTTACTTTGTGACTCTAATTTGGTATTGATTGTATATTCAATTTTGAAAGGAAATAATTAAACTTAAAAAGTGACTTTTTGAGTGTATCAAAGTATTCAGTCTTCCAACTTGTTTGATAATTTCTGTATAAGTTCACTGCTGATTCGTACTAAATATACTTCAATAAAATACAGAATATATAATCAATTTTTTAAATAATTACATTGTGATAAATACAATCCAAAGAAAAAAAATAAACAAATAGTTTATATAATTTTTAGAGCATGCAGGAACAGATACAGTAAAATGCGACTTTGCTGAATGACGATTCAATCGAGAATGAGTTTTGGTTGATGGAACTAGAGATTATAGGTCCTTTGAGCAGCAACCATTTGTAGAAAATAGAAGGAAATGCAATTTTACTACAATTGGAGTTAGGTTAAAATAAGCAACTGAATTTTGTTGAAGTTAAAATTCAAAAGGCACTACAAGCCCCATGCTGTTACAAAAGTGAGATCAGATTTTTTATTTAGACAGGGGTATAAAGTTTATTTATCAACAAATAGAGCCACTTTAGATGTAAGATTGTCAGGAAGATCATTAATTTAGAAAAAAAAATAACACAGGACCAAGTATAACCATTTTAGGTACTCCAGAAGATACTTGAAACAAAGAAGAGTGTTAGCCTTCGAGGATGACATTAAAAAAGCAATTAGAAAGAAATGATTTGATAATCTCAAAAACTTTCTCAGATACGTCAAATGAAGCAAGCTTATGGAAAAGACCAGCATGCCATTACAGTTAGCAAGTCGGCCTTAAAACAAGAAGTTCAAAAACCATAATGATTGTCAGAGAGTAAAATATTAGACTCAATTTGGAATGTTAGAAATTTGTCGATCAATTATCAAAGACTTTGCTTATAATAGAGAGAAGACTGATTAAATAGCAGTTGGAGGGGACAGGTGTCAAGATTTAGATTCAGTCAAGCACTTATTAAACAGTTTAGTAAAAATTAAAGAAATTTATGAAGAACACTTTTGTTTTTGAACAGAATGTCAAAGTGGAGAATAATAAGTTCTACCTTGACCAGAAATCAAAAAAACATGTATAATAGTAAAGAAACATGTATATTAAAGAAGAGAAAAAGCAATCATTCTAGAAATCAGTAGAGAACAAACATATTTGGTTTAGGAGAAGAATATTTGGATAAGAATAAACATATTCGGTTTAGGAGGATGGATAAGATAATGATAAACATAAGCGCTGAAAAAATAAGTGTTGGTTATACTGCTTTGGTTTCTGCTTGATATAGTATAGGTATTCGCCTACAAACTTCCTTAGTAGCGGCAATCTACAATCAAA